CGCATTTAATAACATTGTTACGGATGGAATCAAAAATGGGTATCAAATAGACGTTATATACACTGACCTGGCCAAGGCATTCGACAGAGTTAACCACGAGGTTTTAATCCTGAAATTAAAAGCATTTGGTTTCACAAACAACACACTTGATTTCTTTCACTGCTATCCATCCAACAGAATACAGTTCGTACAGTTTAACAACGTATCTTCCTTAAATTCACCGCTACTTCGGGAGTTCCGCAGGGCTCGATTTTGGGACCTCTCCTTTTCGTGTTATTTGTTAATGACATTTCTCGGTATTTCGGGCATTCTCAATTTCTCCTGTATGCCGGTGATCTCAAGCTGTTTAGAAGAATCGAAAGCGAAAAAGATTCTGATATGATTCAAAATGATCTCAATAATCTATCTACTTACTTTTCAGTATCTGAACTATCTCTCAACGAAGCTAAATGCAAAATAATGAGTTTCACATGAAAGAAGTCACCTACTATCAAGGACTGTTTCATTAATCATACGAATTTACATAGAATCAATGAGATGAAAGATCTCGGGATCATTTTTACTGGTGTGTTCAGTTTCTCTGGGCACATTGAATACTTAGTATCTGAATGTTATAGAAAAATGAGCTTTATCTTAAGATCTAGATCAATCATGATACTTGTATGTTACTATTTAACTCCATTGTTCGTTCTAAGCTGGAATATGGTTGTGTCATTTGGAATCCAAAGACCTTTTTATATTCTGAAACTATAGAAAAAGTCCAGAAACGATTATTAAGAACACTCTTTTTTAGAAAACACAATGTTTGGCCTTTATTTATATCGTATTCTAGCCAATTACAAGAATTTAACATGCAACCATTGAGTCCTCGGAAGTGATTTTTGTTTTTAAGATTCTTAGAAAACTGAAAGTACCTGTAATTCTCTATAACTCTATACTATTGATTTTATTGTACCTGGCGTAAGACTGAGAAGAAGAGACAATATATTTCGTATCTCAAACAATTTGTCTCCTCTTCAAAAATGTCTCGAAACAGTTAACAAAATGGCGAGGAACTGTGAGGGACAACTCCTCCGAATGCTCAAATGTGTCTGAATCTTTTTACGGACATTTTATTATTTATTGTTTTATATTGCAATATTTTATTCATGGATTTTGCATCGTGATAATGCACCTGTTTACTCGTCATTGCTTGTCCGTACTTTTTTGCCAAATTGAAGCTGGGGTGATTCTGTAACGTTACATGGCTGATGGTCTGCGAATATCCATGATGCTTCCTAGGTGGCTCGAGGAGTTATTAACACTGCCTACCCAGGACACGAGGCTAATGACCAAAGTAGTCGATGCCGGTGACAACAAAAAAAAAACATCGTAAACATGCCTCAGCAACCGTACTCACCAGTGCAACTTTTTCCTGTTCCCAAAATGAAGAGGCCATGAAAGGACGGCGTTTTGCGACGAAATGTGCATATCAGAACTGCATCGAGGATGGGAAAAACCGTTGTTTTTTATCTGAGGGGAAATACTTTGCAGGGGCCAGAATAGAAATTGATTAACATATGAATATTTTTTGAGAGAAATGAAAATTCATCTTATTTTTTGAACAGAGTAGTATTTTATTTTTTAATTTCGTAGGCTAGTTTAAATTAGTTTTCAATGATAGAATCCTAGAAAATTAGGAAAAATTCTATCCGTTGAAAGTATACGCAAACGAGAGTCTTTCAATTTAGGCAGGTATAAGACTTTTATATTTGTACAAGTCTCTAATGATCATTAAATACGGTAACTACTGAAAGTTTTGAAATACTTCCTTCAACATATTTTCACAGCCCATTTATATCCGTGAAAATAGGGGGACTGGCTCGTATTTGTTGAGACTTACCGTTGAGACTTACTCGAATGCCCCTGATCCGATATAAAAACTGAATTAATTTTCTCGACAAGTTTTTGTTTGACATTTATATTTGCCTAGAAAATATGAATATGGAGGCATCATTTGGCATCCACCATTATGCACTACTCTCCTCAATTCGTTCGTTAACTCAACTCCAGTAGTAATTGTAGGTACCTACCCATGAAACTCGTTAATCATCATAAATCACCGTAAATTATTCTGACTGATTAATGATCGTTGCTCAACAAGTTATGCCCTTGGACAGCTTCAGCATATACAAAAAACTGTGTCATGTTGGGAAAATCAAATTTGTTAACAGAGATAAGCTAATTTAGTTACTCGTGAAGGATGTGGTCGTTTTTCCTCATCAAAAATATAATTTAAAACAAGAAGATAATAATATATTATACAACGAGCTAGAAATGTGGCCATTACTCGTAAAAATGAGTTACATCGGTAGTTACATCGAATTCAAGATTTTTTTTGCAGTAACATTTTTATTTTTTATCGAATAATCTATACAACGTTCCGCCACAGATGTTGACTTCCACCCTCCATACTATACCCCTTCAAAGCAGTGATGACTCCACCTGCATCCACTAGCAGGGTGGCAGATCATCTTCGATTTGTTCAGTATGAAGTTCTGGATTTGGAAGTTTAAAAAAATGTTGCCTTATGTTTACCCACAGCTCCGAATTTATTGATTTCAATTCTTTGATTGGGGCATTTACCTTTGTGATCATTCAGAAAAAATTATCATTTTCATACATACTCGGTTGCAGCTTCATATATTTAATACAAATATGATAAAAATGTTCTGTTATCATGAACTTTTGGTGTTCGCTATAGTGACTAATATAGACCTAGATTTTTCAAGCCTATTATTTTCTTTGAGTCAGTGCATTTGCATGATAAGCTCTTATAATTCACATGTTCAATGCAACTTGAAAAAACATAGAAAAATATGTTTTGTTGACATATTGACAGTTTTGTTGTATGTGCGAAAAATCAGCTTTTACATTCCAGCGTCGAAATTTCACCCCATTAATTGAACAGTGCTTTTAAGAATATTTTGGATTTACTGTGCAGCTTCAAGATAAATTCTGGGTCCCAGATAAATGTTGTGTAACGTGTGTGAGACTCCTATTAGGTTGGGTTTTTATTTGAGTCAAACAAAAATAAAGGCATTACAACGAAGTCCAAACATACTATTCAGTATCCGAACTTGTCTTCGGCCAACAGATCCATCCTACATAGTGCCGAACTGCTTATGCCTAAGCCTCCAAATCGAGCAGGAAGTCGGGATTCCAGTCCGGCAGAACTTGTTCGCATGAGGCATATGAACATAGTGACCCAAGTTATGAACCTCAAACTACAAAAGAACCGCACTTATTGACACAAAGCGATTTTAACGATTTAGTACGTGATTTGAATTTGTCTAAATGAACAGGCTGAGCTTTTGGGGTCTAGATTAAAGGACTGGAATTTACTTTCTCCTGATACAAAAGTTTCTTATTTTCGACATTGTGACGAAATAAAACCTTACTTTCCTAAGTTTCTTTGTAATAATATTTATGTTTTGATGAATTTATTGAATTTTGAATATGATCCAAGTCATTGACTCGTCAAAAACTAGTTTGAAAGCAGTGTTGCTGCATAACAGAAACGAATTCCCTTCAGTGTCGGTTGCTCATGGTTCTGATATGAAAGAGACTTACGAAAATATGAGATTTCGTCTTGAAAAAATTAAATACAGTGAAAACGATTGGAAAATTTGTGGCGATTTGAAAGCTATTTATTATTTGCTTGGACTATATGTTGATTACACAAAATTTTGCTGTTTTATTTGCGAATGGAACAGCAGAGACAGAAAAAGTCACTAATGAAATTAAATGTGGCTCAAGCGTGAGTCACTTACTCCAGGCCGTAAAAATGTTAAAAATAAGCCTTTAGTGAACCCTGATGACATACTTTTACCACCGTTGCACTCTGTCTCTTGAATTTTTATATCTGAAAGAGAAATTCCCCAAACCCAGCAATGCGAAAATTGATGGGAGAATATTTGTAGGCTAACTAATACGACAACTTATTAAGTATAAGAGCTCTGAAAGAGAACTAAATGACCAGGAAAAAACGCCTGGAAATGTTTTGTGAGTGATGTCCAAAATTTCCTAGGAAATCATAAAGCGGACAACACAAAGCCCTAATAGAGGAACTAATAATGTCAGATAAAGCTTTGGGGTGTAATGTGTCCTAAAAAATACGTATGTTTGACTCTCATCTAGATTTGGGTGCTGTGAGTGACGAACAAGGGAAGAGATTCCATCAGGACATTTACTTAATAGAGAAGCGTTATTCAATGGAAATCGAGCCCAGGAATGCTAGCATATTATTGTTGGAAACTCAGGAGGGACATTCAGAAGACATTCACGAAAATCATAAATATTCATTGCAGTAAGTAATAATTTCTCTGAGTATAGTTGATTTTTGTAATTTTTACCAAAATATATGCTTTGATGTCAAGACAAAAACCTGTTGTGTGAATTTTTTTTCATTGATACAATATTGGTTAGCGACCCTAGTATATTCAAAGTTTGGTATAAGTTTTCATGTGACAAAAAACAGTTAAAATTTTGTTGACCAGTGTTATCGGATCTACAATTTTTGTCTGAACTTATTTTGTAAAAAAAACCTACCGTTTTGCTGAAAATCTCGAAAAACCTGTTTGTGACGTATCGGATCAATGACGCTTTTTTATATTTCATTTATTTGAACAATCCTACCAATTTTGAGCCGTTGCGAATTTTTGTACCTTTACTCCTATTTTTTGGTCTAATTCGACCGGATATTCATTAAATCGACTGTTCGGTGGTTCGAGCCCGACAACCGAACAAATCTTTTTCTCTACGTGTTATCCAACTCGTGCAAATAATCGGACGTTTAAAGGCAAGACCATAGCTTGCACAAGTTTTTTACTTCTGAGGGTTGTCTTGTTCGTGAGGCACATGAGAACAGGTTAGCGAAAAACAGATTTCAAACAGAATTTTCAAAAAAGCCATGTGAAACTGACTTGTTGAAATTGAGCATAGCATAAAAGTAATCTTACTTCTTGACTTAGATGATCACTGCACATCGGTGGTAAATTCGTCAGCAGGGCGTGTATATCTTCAGTTCTGAAACTTTCCATGTCGGCTTCAGCCAGATTGGCGTCCATGTTTTTAGAAAATACATCATAGTAGTTGACGTCTCCGGCTTCATAGGATTCAGGTAGGGAAAGAATACTGGTGTGGTGGTTTGTCCCGCCATCTCTGTACCTGGAAGACATCGAATCACTTTCACATATGGCTCTTACAAGATTTTTATAAGAAAATTGTAGTCTATCTAATGCATATTCAATTTTCACAAAGTTTTCTAAGATGGAATTGCATTTAGTCGCGATATCCAAAGTATACTGAAAGTGTAACGATTTTATTGTTTACTTTGGTGATATATCAGTACAATGTACGAGAGGACAATTTTAAATTCGAGGGATAATATCTAATAATAACTATGATCAAGATAAAAATGTGTAGTATATTCAACGTTATCGTGTTATCAATAATTTTTATTATTGAGATTCGATCTTGCCGTTGGCCAAAAATAGGAATTAAAATTACCGTTTTTTTGTTGCATTACAATTCACACTGTACGAAAAAATAATCAACGAATACGAAATATTCTTCTTTCTTGAACGTATAGTAACATGTTTGATGATTTTGAAAATCTCCAGTCATCAATTTTATTATAATTTTAATATTTCTTCTTACATCATTGGAAGGCGACAGGAGTTATGGAGTTTGTGGCAGGATGTTTTATAAAATGCATTGCTACAAAGCCCTGAAAAACTCAATTGAATTCGAAACGTCGGAAAGAAAACAATTGTTTTTCTAAGATATTTTGATCGTGCTACCCCAAAAACCATTCCAGAAATGATTCATTTGGACCACTAAAATATTAACCAGATTGGAAAGATACCTGTTGCAAGTTTTCTCGGATTTGAAGTGAGTGTTCGTTGAAATTAATAGACTTTCCCGCCGGCAAACAGTTGTAAAACCAACTTTCAACCTCGACCGCACAATGGGAAATCGTTTTGTTTCAATTCTTTATCTGCCATTTTTGATGCAAAATTGTATATGTGACAAAAATGTACGAACCATGTTAGTATAAACATTGAAAATATGCTTCAAGTTTCAATCTAGCATACTTCTTCATTTAGAAATAATAACAGAAAATAGTATAATAGTTTCTTTCGGAATTTTGAAGGATTTTTTATTTTTATTTCGATCTGCAATAATCTCATGAGTGTTACTGAAATGTATCATGAATTCAACGTTTTAATTCATTCTGTTTATAAAACATAATTTCTTTGCCGTGGTTCCAAAAATGTATTTTTTTTTAGTGATTGTGACGATGTTTCATGACGAATTTCATTAGTTCGGACTTCCATTTAATACATAAAATGATTTGAAATCCGTTAAAAAGAAAAATAAAAAAATAGCTGAAAATAATAATCATATTAAGCAAAAAAACCTTGAAATGAAACACAATGCAATTGAAAATAGAACAATTAAATAAAAAAATAAAAATTAAGAGATTCCAAGCCAAGTTCAGGGTTTTTTGCTTAATATAATTGTCATTTTCAGCTATTCTTTTTAATTTTCTTTTTATTGGTTCTTTTCATTTATTTATTTCAATTGAATTTCAAATCATTTTACATAATATACAATGGAAGTCTGAACTAATGAAATTCATGTATTTATTTTTGTCTTAACATGGACAATCTGTATCTGTATCTGTATCAAAAATATAAAATCAATGTATTTATTTTTTGAATAGCTTCAAAATGTTAAACATATATTAGGTTGATTCAAAAGTGAATACTTATTCAATTTAATCGAAACAAGCGCCATTTGAATCAGTGCCAAAGTAACAAAAGCCGGTTAATTCTTTCAGCTTGAAAATTGTGCTCAGGATTCGATGAAGTCGACGAAGGCCGTTTTTGCCTGATCCTGATTGGCAAAGGTTCTACTGGTGAGACAGTTATCGAAGTGTTTGAAAAGATGTTAGTCGGTTGACGGGAGGTCTGGGTAGTATGGTAGGTTAGGTAGAACTACCACTACCAAATGCCTGGCTAATTTTTCGGGTTGTTTCGGCAGCGCTTTGGTTCAATTCGAATTCGTAAAGAAAAATTGACCGAAAATCGCTTAACGACTAAAAAGAGGGAATGAATTAAAATTTGGACAAAAACGCAACAACATCAATGTTTAGAGTACAACATTCTCTATCGACACAGTACGCCACAGTAAAATAATTATTTATTGAGGAATGGAGCTACAAAAACACATGGCATTAAAACGCACAAAACTTTTTAAACAACCCAATATTATGTACCAGATTTTTTAAATCCTGATGTATTGCTAACGAGTAACTTCAATAATACAGTATTTATAACTCAATATTCGTTGATTTCTTTGAATTGAAGGTGAGCCAGAGCCGTTATCAAAACTGTGTCAAAATTCTACAAAAATGCATGTACTGAGTGGTTTGCATAGAATCCTGTTTCGGGGAAAGGGAGAAAATGTTCTTGGGAAGAGAAAATAAATGTTTCGGTGAGGCTCATATCAATATTTTTCTGGAAATTTCCGGTTACATATAAATGTTCTCTGTCACCAATAGTTTATGACTAATTTTCTAAAAAGTAGACAATTTTTTCTTGTAATCGTTAACTTTTGCAATTATTCATTGTAAGTTTCTAGATCTCATTAATAATTTTACATTTTTATTCGCAGTAGCAAGAATTGACATGTTTTTCCACTTGTGAGCTAGTGTGTAACGTAAAAAACTATTAAAAAAAAACACAAGCACTACAGGAAAAACATCAAGGCACTCACGTTGGATTTGAATCGCTGGAGACTGAATTCATTTGGAAAAAGGTTCTCAGGAAATTTATTCCACATAAAAGTAGTTCTCCAAATGAAAGAGTTCTTAAACAGTGAAGTTTGAGATATACTGGGTTGAACCTCAAAACGATGAGCAGTCACAGTCTGTCGCTATTCTTCCACTCAACCAAGTATACATAGGTGAATACATACAAATGAAATACATACAAATAAAATTATTTGTAACATGTTGAAAATAAACTATTGAAATATGAACTAAAACGGAAAATATTTGAAAGAACTTTTTTCTCACTTGATTTCAAGATCATTGTTTATTCAGGCCAAGTTTTTTGAATCTATATTTGAAAGATAATGAAGAAAGCTTTTTTATAGTTTTTTCGATATTATTGTAGGTACTAACAGCCTGATAAGAGAAAGATCGCTCGAACTGTTTGTATTTATGCCGTGGAATAGAATATTCACTCTGATTTCTGAGACTTCTATCATGTGTATCGCGTCTGTATATCAACTTCTTCAGAAGATATTGAGGTTGCTGTTTTATTCTGAGGTTATGAAGTTAGCCAGATGCAGTTCTCTTCTGCTAATCATTTTCAGCTATCCAATCTGATTTATGAAAGAAGATACACGATCTCTGAATTTCAAACCAAAAATCAATCTTGTACATACATTCTGAACTCTTTGTATTCTTGATGATGTGATTTGATCGAGACCAGGGCCATAGACGATATCGCAGTAGTTGAATATGGATAAAATTAGACTATCGCATAAAATGATTTTCATGTTTCGACTGAGAAAATGTCTGTTCGAATAAAGTTTTATTAACAATCCATAAGCTTTACGTATTAGTGAGTTGACATAGGATTGAAATCGTAATTTGTTGTCAATATTGAGTCCCAAACATTTAATTTCATTGCTAAATTCAATCTTGTGATTGTCGATCCTCTGTCGGCCCTCTGTCTGTCTTTAGAATTTCCGAATACAATAAAAGATGATTTGTTACGATTTATATTCAAACAATGATTTCTAAAAATATTCACGATGTTTTCAATATTGTTGTTCAAAGAATGTTCTTGTGTCAACAAATTTTCTAATTTACCTGAAAATTATAAATTTGTATCGTCTGCGTAGGAATGCATTTCAAATATTTCAAGTGCTTCGCCAAGTATAGATAATAAAGAGTAACTGAGATAAAATGGATCCTTGGAGTGCTCCATGTGAGATTTGAATATAGTCAGACGTTAAACAGTTTAGTTCTATTACTGAGAAATTATTTGATAAGTTTCTGTGAGATCTCATCAAAAACAATATAGTGAAGTTTGGCACATAGTAGTTAATGATTCATAGTGTCGAATGCTTTACTATAATCAATTGATACAAAGATAGTCAATTCATCGTTGTCAGAAGCCCGAAAGATGTCATCCGTCATTTTTAGTAGGGCGCTAGTGGTGCTATGGTTTCGTCTGAAACCTGACTGATTTTCAGGTAAGATATTTTTTCCATTATCCACTCATATATTTGTTCATATGCTGCTTTCTCAAGAATTTTTAATATAGCCGGCAATATGTTTATGGGTCTCAGATCATTGTAGGATTTTGGCTGGAATATTTTGTTAAGAGGGAATGTCACCGATTTTTTCCAACTATCTGGATAAAATCTTATTCTAGACATTTATTAATAATGTAGGTTACCACAGGTGTATGGAAAGAAATGCATAATTTCATCATTTTGATGGATATCTGATCGGATTCGGTATCATTAGGTTTTATTTTGTTGAAAAAACGTTCTGTGTCAGAATCTTCCCTAGGATGAAATTTGAATATGTTATGATTTTGATGGGTCCACAAGTACTGGGTCATCATTGTAGTTAATGTTTGAGTGACAGCTTGATTAACCGATGAAATAAAATGATTGTTTATTTTATTTGGGTCACTAAGTTGCTCAGGTACATTATTTTTGGATTTGCTCACTACAATATCAAGTAGATGTAGATGTTCCAAAGTTCTTTGGAGTTGTATTGGTCTTGAATGTATTTGAGGTAATGTTTTTTTCAATTCTTGTTGTTACCATCATTTTATATTTGTTCCAATGTTGAATGTTTTTAGTCTTTCTAAGTTTTGAAAATGCAAAAATTTTATTTTTTATCATTATTTCCAATACATCGGTCAACCAAGGTGCCTTTGGCTTACCTACTTACTCTTACCACCGTACATAAGTAAACAGAAGTAAATTCACTCCCGTCGGCTTCTTTGATGTTTCGAGATTTTATTTTTTGCTGGCATGTGGCGGGGCAGGAGGGTGTCGGCTAAGAGCTGTTGCGCACTTCTGCACGAGGTTCGATCAAAAAAATATGTGACCATGATCTGACTTCATCATTA